CATATTTAGGTATAACGATAAATTCCAGATAGGATGATCCTTTAGAGAATATACGTAGAATAGAGAAAGCGAGATCCTCCTTTTGGATGATGTCGAAATTATTTCACACCCATAACCTTAAAACAAAAATTATTAAGTTTAGCTACTTAGAAGCTACGTTTTTTCAGTACTCTGTGGTGCTAAAACAAGAAGCCTACATATATATGCACCTACAAAAAAAAATCAAGTCCGTGGAGAGTTATCTGTCTCCCATCGGACGCGTCCCCAGGTGGTGGATAGGGCAATGTCCTAACCGGTCATTGGACCGGTGGGTAGTTGAGAAATAAAAATACCAACCGCAAACCAAAAGAGACTAAGGTATGACAACCCTAACAAAAGTCTCTTGCCCTCCAGGTAGCAGACTGTGCAAACGAAAAATGGAATTAGGATTACTAACATGGAATACCCGAACCGTGTACCTAACTGGAGCACTCACATCTTTACTAAACATAGTGAACACGTACAGATGTTTTCTCACAGCAGGGAATGCGGTAGACGGAACTGGCACTCTTAACAAGAGAACTCATTCCATATATTACAGCTATAATGAAAACCAACATATATATGGGGTGGGATTTATTGTAAACCTTAGACCAAAAGGTCTTATTATTGACTTTAAAGCCTACAGTCAAAGAGTGTGCTATTTGCACTTAAAAGAAAAAACAGTTCTTCGAAGACCTAGAGAAAGCCTACAGAAGATGTCTCAGACGTGATATTGAGATTTTATTAGGTGACATGAATGACGAATAGGACGAGATCGAGTTTTATGCCCACGATAAAAAAGCGAGGCCCATACAACATCAGCAGCGATAATGGATTAGGACTGATAAACTTAGCAGCAGCACTCAATATGACAATCGTTTGCACCTATTTTGAACACAAAAACATACACAAGGTAACCTGGACCTCTCCTAATGGAAGAACAAGAAGTTAGATTGATCAAATCTTAATAGATTCAAGGCATGGAACATACGTAATAAACTGCGGAAGTTATAGAGGCGCAAACATAGACTAAGATCATTGTCTAGTGATCTCAACATTGGGGGCTAGAATTTCAAATACTAGTAAAGAAAATAAAATGGATACAAAAAAAATGGAATGTGCAAAAGCTGAGATGCGACAATTCTTGAACGGTACTCGCAAAACATCACGAACAGGCTAAGGAATCAAAATGTAAATGAAGAATGCCAGACAGGTCGAGACTCCTACTGGACCAGAATAAAGGAAGATATTGAAGCAGCAGCAAAAGAGGAAATAGGAACAGAAATTTGTGCCCGTAGAAATAATTGGCTTGACGATGAATTCAAGAATGCAACAAAAGAAAAAAATGAAGCCTACAGAAAGATACTTACCCGATGAACTAAAACAACTATAGAGATTTATTAGACAAATAGAAGAAATGAAAAGAGGATACACAAAAGAAAAAAAATGAAACCACCTAAATGAGGAACTTAAATATATAGAAAACCTCAATAGAGAGAAAGAATTCAGAGCATTCTAAAAGAAAGTCAACATCAACATAAAATAATTCAAAGGCAATCACAAGACAATGCAAAAGTCAGAATGGCGACCTATTAATAACAAGGAAAGATGCATTGAATAGATGGGTGGAATACTTTAACCAGGCACTTAATGTAGAGGAAGAAGAAGAAAACCTGGAAGACGAAAAGAGATGAGGTAATGTGAACAGACGAGAAGGAAAAGGAATCACCAACGATTTATGAAGTTAAAAATGCAGTTAAAAAACTAGCCAGAAACAAATCAGTCGGAGTAGATAATCTCCCAGATGAACTATATAAAGAAGGTGGCCATGATACCATAATGGCATTACAGCAGCATATATTTCCAATGATTGGAATATTGAAATACTTTGAACCATACACAAAAAAGGACATATATTTGAATGCTCTAACTACAGAAGAATTACGCTTCTAAATGCAGCGTATAAAACATTTTCCACAGTACTATGTTATAGAAGGCACCATATACAAAACGGATAGTAGGAAAATACCAGGCTGGTTTCAGAGGTCGTAAATCGACAATTAATCAGATTGCAACCCTGAAACAAATTTTGGAAACAACACTAGAATATGGCATTGATACTTATAACATATTTATAGACTACAAAGCAGCCTACGACTCTGTGAATAGAATAGAAATGTTCAAAGAAATGAAGGAAATCAGTTGGTAAATTTAACAAAACTAACTCTTGAAAAAGTTGAGTATAGAGTACGAATTTAGGGGGAAATGTCTGAATCTTATAAAATAAATAACGGGCTGCGCCAGGGAGACCCTCTCTCCTGTATAGTGTTCAATCTGGCTCTGGAAATAGTAATACGTATATCACAAATCACAACCACCGGTTTAATATATAATAAATCAGTGCAAATCCTGGCCTATGCTGATGATAAAAATAATGTTAGGAGAATCAGCTACAAAAATGGGTTTAATAATAAACACCAACAAAACGAAGTATATAAAAATAAGCACGCAATCACAAATACTATGACCACTCGTTATAGAAAGCGACATCATAAACCGCAGAATTTCCACGGCCAACTGATGCTATTTTGGGCTCAATCTCCTCCTTAAATCTACAGTTATATCGATAAATACGAAAATAAAACTTTACAAAACAATAATACGCCCAGTCCTAACATATGAGACTTGAAGAGAGACTATTTTTTGTTAAGAGACTTGAACTCTTAACAAAAAATGATGAAAACATGCAAGGATGTTTCGAAAGAAAAGTACCAAGGGGAATCTATGAAGCAGTGAATAACAATGGAGTGTGGAGAAGACAAATTCAAACTTTATAGAATATACTAGGAAGCTGATATCGTAAAACATATTTATAAGATAGGAGTCGGAGGTGGATAGGGCATGCAATGTGAATGGAACAAAATGACCCAGCTAGAAACACGCTCCTTAATAAACCCATTGGTCAGAGAAGAAGAGAAATACCTAGAACAAGGTTCCTTGATAATATCGATAAAGACATGAGAAATATGGGAATACGTGCTTGGCAGAGGAAGATGATGGATAGGGACGACTGCAGAGAAATTCTTGAGAAGGCTAGAACCCACGTATGGTTGTAAAACCAGAATAATGGGTTGTAAAACCTTTTATAACAAATGTTTAATGTGAAGCCCATTTACCTCAACAAGCTTATGCATTCTTTCAATAAATGATCTTTTAACTTTAAAAAATAGGTTTAGCTGATTGGCTATAACATTAGCGGAATTTAAATTATGAATATGTTGCCTGTGTGAGTCAATTTCAAATAGGTAAAAAGAAATAAAATAAGTCTTACAGACAATCAATTTAATTTTATTTTCGCTTTAAGCGAAACACCAAAACGACCGGTTTCATGTAAGGCCCAATCTTCTTCTGTAATCTCAATTATATCGAGAAATACAAACGTAAAACTCTAAAAAACACTAATGCGCCCAATCCCAATATATGGTACAAAGTCTTTTACTCTAACAAAAAGTAATGAAAACATATAAGGATGTTGAATGCTCGAATAAATGAGCTTCATATAATGATGTTTCAAAAGAAAAGTCTTCTTTTGGTGCCTATTAATTTCGAATATTGGCGATCATTCTGGCTATACTTATTTTATTAACTGATGCTTTAGATATATTAGTTGTTGTTGTGGAGAACCATTTCCTCAGGTTTTTTAACCGTGATATTCATCTTCTGCCAATACCTCGCTTTCCGAATACTTTGGTGCCGTTTCTCATTATGTATCTGAGATATTCTAACTTTCTCCTTTTAATCGTATACATCGCTTCTCTTTCTTCCCCCATTCTTCGTAGTATAGTCTCGTTGGTTATCTTGTCCGTCCATGATATCCTTAGGATTCTTCTGTATAGCTATATCTCGAAGGCTACAAGTTTTTTCTCATGCAGGCTCTTCTTGCCATGCAGAAAATACATAGCATCTGATGATAGAGTTTTTGGTACTAAGTGGTAAATCGTGACTTCTGCAAAGAGAGGCTTCATCATCACGAAGGCTAATCTTGCTTTCCTTATGCGTTGTCTTATTTTAGTAGAGTGGTCCTATTAACTGTTTATGTAAGTACCAAGATATGTGTAGCTGTTTACTCTGTCAATTGGCTGTTGGTTTACCAAAAGATGTGTATTTAATATTTCGTACTTACTTACTACCATGTACTTTGTTTTGTTCGTATTGAGATCCAGCCCATATTGTCCACTTATATCTAATTTGCGCGACACTGTTGCTTGTAAACCATCTAGACTATCTGCAAAAACTACTGCTTCGTCAGCATATCTAATGTTGTTTAGATGCACTCCGTTAACTAAGACGCCTTCCTGTAGTTGTCCCGGTGGTTGCTCGAAAATACGCTTTGAGTACAAGTTAAATAGCACTGGAGATAGAATGTATCCTTGTCTCACTCCTCTATCTATGGAGATTGTCTCTGTCAACTGGTCATCTACTTTATTGTTGGCAGTTTGGTTGTAATATAAAAATATATTAAATTTGTAATACTACCGCGTGAAAATAGCTTCAGAATAATTTGAAGAAATCGATATGTGCCTACCGTTATTTAAAATTTAAGTTGCTAGAATATAGGTAGTGGGTTTTCTGGTTTGATTGTAGTTCTGAATAAGACATTTAAGTATACTATTAGACAATTTACTATATCATATCTGAAAATTAAACTTAAATAGTAACTTTATATCAATTTTGATTCGTTCCTATACATATTTAAAAATATTTAATTTGTGTATTTAATGTGACTATTTAGACTTTGTTCATTTCAGCCATCCTGTAGATCTAGTCAGCTTTGTTTAATCCCTTGCTTATATGTAGCTAAAACTGATTAAAACCAAAAAAGTAACACATTCTCATTTCTGCGCATGGCTCTTTATTCAAAAAATACGTCGACGTCGACGACGCTATTTACATACGCGCTGCGTCGCTGATTAAGATAACAAGTGAAGTTCGCATATCTTCGCTTAAATTTTTTCCAATAAATTTGTTTATTGGAAAAACAAGCAAAACTCATTTATCAGTTGACAGTGTTTGTGTATTTCGCCATGCTGGAAGTTTTGAGTGTAAGTTAAATGTTTATGAATTACTATTTATACTGTAGCTTGACCGAAAATCTTCAGTTATAACAAAATTTAACATAAATAATGTTCTGGTTGTATATTTTCAATTAATTTTTGATATATTTCCGTAACTATTATGTCTAGTATGTTACGTAGTTTCTTCCATATTATAAATTAGTAGGCCGTTGTTTAATTTCGGAATTTTGTATTGAATATAAAAAAAGTTTATTCTTTGGTTCGATCTTCTTTATAAATTTACTTGCACTAATAAGAGTCGAAGGTGCTCAGTGTTTGGTGTCTTTATCAAATTCTTCTCACATTAGTTTTGGTACATTAAAACACTATTGTTATATTCGTGATTTTTCAAGTATTTGGCATATCACGATGTTTCCATTAATAATTTTAATTAATAAATATTTAGACGTAATTTTCTAGTCCTCCATATTTCAACAATTCTACATTTAATCCATCTTGTCCTGTGGCTTTACAGTTTTTGTCTTGTTTACAACTCCTTAAAATTCTTAAACCGTTATTAAACCACCCTAATTGTCTTAGTCCTATTCTTCATTAAAGTTCTGGTGAGAATTACCCTATAATAATATAGGAAAGAATATTTCTTTTCATAAGAGTGGTGAAAAATCGAATGCTTGCACCCATAGACTCATGGCCTTACTATCAGTCTTCTTCTTCTTTGGGTGCCGTCTTCAATGAAGGTTGGCGATAACCTCAGCAAAATCATTTCTGTCCCTGGCTTTTCTTATTAAAGATTGAGAATTCAGACCAGTCCACTCACGAATGTTCTTCAACCAGGACGCCTGCCGTCTACCAGGACCACGTTTTCCTTCTACCTTCCCCTCTATAAGAAGCTGCAGCAGCTGGTATTTCTCATTTCTGTATATGTGTCAGAAATATGAGGTTTTCCGTGTTTTCATTATTTTTAAGAGTTCTCTGTCGGTACCCATCTTGTGTAGGACCTGCTCGTTGCTCATATGCGCTGTCCAGGGGACTTTCAGCATCCTTCGAAATAACCATATTTCAAAACTTTCCAAACGCCTTAGTGAGTTGATTTTGAAGGTCCAGGCCTCCATTCCATATAGTAAGGTGCTGTAAACGTAACATTTCAGCATTCGGTATCGGATTTTGAGATTGAGTGTTTGGGACGTAAACATTTGTTTCATTTTTAAAAGACATTTCTTGCTTGTTCAATTCGCGATTTTACTTCTATGTCTGGATCTATATCTTTCGTTATCCAGCACCCTAGATATCGAAATTTCTCGACATTTTCGATAATGTTACCATTCACGTTTAAAGCCATGGGTGGATGGATGGATGTTTTGGAGACAATCATTGTTTTTGTTTTCTTGACGTTAATGCTGAGGCCGTATTGTTCTCCGATCGATCTGACGCGATCTAAGAGTGTCTGGAGATCCTGTGCGCTCTCTGCAATTAGGACCATGTCGTCGGCGTATCGTACATTATTTAGAACTCTGCCGTTAATTTTAACACCTTCTCTTGATTGATCTAGTGCTTGTGCAAAGATTTCTTCCGAATATATATTGAAAAGTAGTGGTGACAATACACACTCCTGTCGTACACCTCGCTTGATATTGAATATTTCTGTGTCACCGGCTTCTGTTCTAACTGCTGCAGTTTGGTTAAAATACAGCGTTTGAATAATTTTAAAATCGTTCTCGTCTAGTCCCTTTTTGTGAAGGCAATCCATCAGCTTATCATGTTTTACTTTGTCTACTAGTACTACGATAGTACTTACTATCAGTATTGTACAGATAGTATCCAAAATTATTGAGAGACTTATAAAAGCCAGACATGTCATTTCTCGTTGAAAACAAGATATCTCGTATAACAAAATCAGTTCGGCTTTTTGTGTTTTCTGTACTACCTATATGAGGTTTACCAAGCCTAAACAATAATCTTTACACTGCCACTGTTTTTGTAACTATGCCAAAGGTTTTAACTGTGTAAATTACGAAATTTTGATAAAAAAAATATATGTGGAGTACCACAAGGTTCACTAATGGATCCATTAATTTTCCTTATCTTTAGAAATGACATCACTAATTTAAAAATCAAAGGAACAATTTTTCTCTTTGGTGTTGATACCAGTATCACCTGGAGAAACTCTAATATTGCAACTCTTCATGCAACCATAACTTTTGATCTACTTAAAATAAAAACCTGGTCCGAGTCTAATTTATTATTTTTTAACTTAAATAATATAGTAAGCTTTATCCTATTAGGGAATTCCTTAACCCTTGCTTCTTAATAAAAGCCAGATCAGTATCGTTGATCCTGTAAAATTTTTTGATATTTTTATAAACAGCAACCTTAAATGTTCCCTTCATATCGATTTGTTAAGTAAGAAACTAGTCTCAACCTGCTATGCAGTAAGATCTGGTTCAAAGGAAATCAATTTAGCATCTTCTAAAATAACATATTTTTCTTTGTTCGAGTCTCATCTTCGATATGGTCTTTCTTTTTGGGGTTCGAGTAGAGTAAAGACACTTTTTAGAACGATCCACTTACAGGCTGCAGTGAAGCACAATTGAAATGCATTCGTGATTACTATGCCAGACTCTTCCGCCAACAATTTCAACTACCAGAGATAAGCAAATGAGAAAGGAAAGTTCGAGAGGCGAATAGGTTTCGTGCTGGATGAAAGAAACATGGTAAACATAATGATGAGAAGAAAAAAATAATGGGGAGAAGTACACTGCCTGGTCCTTAGGGCGATGAAAAAGTAGCAGGAGAACAGAGGAGAAAATTGAACCAGGGATCTGAAATATTGTTTCTTTTTTCTCGAGAGCCAACAACAGTTAAGAACCAAAATTAGTTTATAGCCTCACGGAAATATTTTTCTCATTTTAATCTTCTTTTGGTAATCCTCCTTCTCATTCCTTGAGTCCTTATCAGCTTAAGATGGCTTAATGTAGAGATTTTACCACTACAGTCTTCATTTGACTTTCTCATTGTGTTGAAGATTTTCCTCTTGTTCTTCGGGCTTCTGCCTTTCCTTCTACTACCAATCGTTCCATGCTCCCCGCTCTTCTAGCTATGTGGGCCAAGTAAATTAGGTATGCTTGGTTTACTGTTTTTATTAACCTGTCTTTTATATGAAGCTCTTCCAGAATTGACAGGTTGGTTGTATGTTGTGCCCAGGACACGTGTAGAATTCTTCTATAGACCCACATTTCGAGGATTCGATCTTATTCCTATCGATTTTTTTGAGAATCCATGCATATGTAGCAATGGACAAAATAAAGGCATTGACCAACTTGACCTTAGTATTTCTTGTTGTTATTCGGCCTTTCTCAGTTTAGCTGTTGTGGTTTGGTCCATTGCTAGTCTACGCTTAATTTCTGAGGAACAATGGCCATTGTTGGTTATCAGGAAGCCCAATTATATAACTCTGTCTACCACTTCGAAATTAGCCACTTGGTGTATCTGTGGTAGCAGTAGCGTACCTAGAATATTCCTGGATGGGGGGTTTGGTTAAGCATCGATTTTTTTTTATGCTCCCTTCATTTTGAGTCATTAAAATTTGGGATTTAATTTAATTTAAAGTACTAAAGGTAGCAGTGCCAAAAATAAACTAAAACCACCATCCCCTACTTGTGGGTGGCCTCTGTAAGGCTGACGACATTTTTGGAACACTCCTTCTCTTATCTAGATCTTATCTCTGTCGTTGTTCCGATTGATGTATCTCTTTTTCTTCGTTCTTTTTAATTACTGTTCGGATGTAATTGTTAACACTGTTCCATCCCACCTTACTTCCCGTCTTCTTCACGATTATCTCTCTCACAGTCAAAAGGTTCATATCTATTTCTCTATACATTCAGAATAGAGATGGATAGAGACGATTAGAGAGAAATTCATGGGGAGGCAAGGTCCCATATAGGGCTGTAAATCCAGAATGATGATGGCCAAATTAAAAAGAAATAAACTTAGCTCAGGTATGACAAATTGGACGCGAGTTCTACAAGGTTATTGGTGTTAAAAAAACAGTGATCGTATGTGGTATAAATGAGAATGCTTGAAAGGATGAGTGGGTACAAAGACGTCATGTAAACTGTAAATAAAAATAATTTCTCACTTACTGTCGTTTCCTCTTTATCTGTGTGTGTAGTTGAAAATGTGACTATGGATTACTAGATCTATTTGCCTAACCAATTGCTGTTCTCTATTTTAACCGTAATCATCCGCAAAATAAATATTCCAGAAAAGTTTTCTGTTCCTAGAGCATTAAAGAGAAGTTTCATAACGATTTAATGTAACAATAAAACACTGAAAACTTTGTTTTCAAACTTTCACAAAATTTATTTTAACTTCCACGAGGAAACTGAGTTCCTGTAGCTGGCTGTATACCATATATCACAAAAAAATTTTGTTAAAATCCTTTATAAAAGGTATATAAAAATGCCTCAAACGGGCTATCACAAACACACTGCAAAACGTTTTCGGATTAAACAATCCATCATCAGTGCAAACGGTTGTACATGCTAGTAGCCACCAAAATATATGGGTAAAAACCCTTTAAATGTTATAAATTTGAAATTGTTTTACATTATTAGTATTTCTAATTTGTGATGGTTAAGTTACCGTTGGATAGGTAACATGGCGGCGTATGACTCTACATGAGTAAAATGGTCCTGAGACGAAGTGTCTACGAGGACACTTCGTAGGTTATCAACAGGTCCTCGTAGACACTTCGTCTCAGGACCATTTTACTCATGTAGAGTCATACGCCGCCATGTTACCTATCCAACGGTAACTTAACCATCACAAATTAGAAATACTAATAATGTAAAACAATTTCAAATTTATAACATTTAAAGTGTTTTTACCCATATATTTTGGTGGCTTCTAGCATGTACAACCGTTTGCACTGATGATGGATTGTTTAATCCGAAAACGTTTTGCAATGTGTTTGTGATAGCCCGTTTGAGGCATTTTTATATACCTTTTATAAAGGATTTTAACAAATT